ACTACACACTCTCACCAATGTACTAACATCCAATGGATTCCAAAGAAATAAGATTACAAACCTAATCCAAAAAGAAACCCCCACTAAAATCCAAGACAATGAACAAGAAAACGGCAAAGCCCTCCTTCCATACATAAAAGGCACCACAGACAGAATCAGTAAGATCCTCCATAAACACAACATCAAAACAGCATTCTGCACAAACAGAAAAATATCCACCATCCTTAGAAACCCCAAAGATAAAATTGAGTTAGAAAATGAAGGAGTATATGAAATCCCATGCACTGCTTGTCCCAACACATACATCGGACAAACCAACAGAAGAATAAGTGCACGCGTTGAAGAACATAAGAACTCAGTCAAAAAAGAGGAACCAACATCTTCCCTGGTCCAACACCTTAAAGCCACAGGACATGAAATTGACTTTAAAAATACCAGAACCATTGCCAAAAGTGAACATTTTAATAACAGAATAATCAGAGAAGCCATCGAGATAGAAAAATGCCCACACAGCATGAACAAGCGAGATGATACCTCCCGCCTACCAGCCATTTGGAAACCCGCCCTTATTGACAAACGACTCCCTAACACAAAAAATGATACCAGACTCACACTCACAAAAACCTCATAGGATGTCACCACCACACATCCCCGCAAAAAGCAAACCCAAAGCCACACCAATGATGAGGCACGACCACAAACCAGAAGCCAGACCACAGCTGCATCATTAGCCACTTTAAACCCCTCCAATCCACACATGAAGCAAACTGACACCCTCCATGAAGATGAGGCACGACCACGAACGCGAAGCCAAAAAATAGCAAGGCAGCCCAAAATCTTAAACCCCCCTGCAACTCAGACTAACCTGAGCACAACCAAACAGAACACTCTCCCAGCCAATCAGAGCACAGCCAACCCCCCAGCCAATCAGAGCACAGCCAAGCCCCTAACCAATCAGAACACACCTCCACCCAATCAGAACACAGCCAAGCTCCCACCCAATCAGTTCATACCCCCACTGGCAGTTAAAAGGAAGAAACAGCTAAGACCACACATTGCTCCTTGAAGCACAAAGCTGAAAACACCAGCCTGAAGATGACGAATGGGACTTCGTCGAAACGTTGCCAAGACACTTCCAATTTTACGCGGGAGAAAACCCGAACAACCAAAGACCTACATACAAACACCCGCGAAAACCTCAGAAAACAAATATCAAACCTCTACAGGGAGGAAATCCACCATCTGACCAGGACCTATGAAAAACCTGAAGTCCAAAGAGCTTCCATTTTATGTGACCTTGCATTCCTACGCAACTGCTGAGATCAAAATCTAATCCCCACATGTTTCCAACTGAAATTCCACTCCAACTCTGCAGCCACCAAACGGATCCTGAAAAGAACAGAATTGGCCCTAATCAGAAATGAACTTCACACAAAAAGATTCCTCCTAGACCGAATTAACAAAGATCTCCTCACACTCCACCTCAAACTCAGCAACAAGATCCACCCTGCACTTTGGGACAAATCCAAACAACTCGCCGTCTGGAGAGCCGAAACACAGACCACCCTCAAGACAGATACACACACCAACAAACTCCGAAGACTACAAGAACGCCAGAAACAAACCCCTCCTCCCTCACAGCCACACATGAAACAAACAGTGCATAACATCTCAGATAGGATCCTCACCAAAGCCGAAACCAATGTCCTTTCCAAAGGATTCAACTTTGCAGTCGCTCCCAAACACATCCCCACTGAAACCATTATATGTGGAGTTGAAACCAGCCTGACCAAAATCAACCCCGACGACGCTAACAGAATCAGACTCGAAATCACCAACATCCTCTGCACCAGCAAGCCACCCAAAAGCAACTTACCCAAAGAGGAACAGACAGCACTACGTAACCTGAAAGAAGACACCAGCATAATAATCCTACCAGCAGACAAGGGCAACGCCACGGTGGTTATGAACACATCTGACTACCAAACCAAATTAACCAACCTACTCCAAGACTCCACATACAAACCCCTAAATACAGATCCCACCACCTACCTGGAAAAAACCACCAGATCCAAAATAAAAGCCTCCCCCATTAGCGAAGAGATCCAGCAAAGAATCATTCCCAGAGAGAAATCATCCAGATGCCCCAAACTCTATGGTCTCCCCAAGATACACAAAGAAGGAACCCCACTCAGACCTATAGTCAGCTCCATAGGCTCACCTCTACAAAACCTAGCCAAATTTCTCGCCAAACAACTACAGCCCTATGCAGAATCCATCACCTCACACGTAAAAAACTCATTCCAGTTTATAGAGATCATAAAGAAACAAAACTTACAGCCCAGCGACCTACTAGTGAGCTTCGATGTCATATCCCTCTTCACCCAAGTGCCTATCAAAGAAGCCTTGACAGCTATCCAAAACAAATATAACCCCCCCAAACACATCTTAGATCTGACCAACCACTGCCTATCCAACACATACTTCATCTATAATGGACAAAAATACAAACAAACAGAAGGAGCACCCATGGGATCACCCCTCTCACCTGTCATTGCCAAACCTCTACATGGAACACTTTGAAACCCAAGCTCTAGAAAAATCGGATCACAAACCCAAACTCTGGCTCAGATACGTAGACAACACCTTCATAATCTGGCCACATGGGAAAGAAAAACTAGACAAGTTCCTCACACACCTCAACAGCCTACACCCCAAAATACAGTTCATCATGGAAACAGAAGCTAACAACCAACTTCCCTTCCTGGATGTCTTAGTCTACAAGAAATCCAATAGCTCCCTAGGACACACCATCTACCAGAAGAAAACACACAAACCCCTATCTGCACGCTCTCTCACACCGCCACCCAGCACAGATCAACTCCATAGATACTTATCTCCAGAACTAAATGCTTAGCTGACGAACAACACCTAAAAACCGAACTACACACTCTCACCAATGTACTAACATCCAATGGATTCCAAAGAAATAAGATTACAAACCTAATCCAAAAAGAAACCCCCACTAAAATCCAAGACAATGAACAAGAAAACGGCAAAGCCCTCCTCCCATAGATAAAAGGCACCACAGACAGAATCAGTAAGATCCTCCATAAACACAACATCAAAACAGCATTCTGCACAAACAGAAAAATATCCACCATCCTTAGAAACCCCAAAGATAAAATTGAGTTAGAAAATCAAGGAGTATATGAAATCCCATGCACTGCTTGTCCCAACACATACATCAGACAAACCAACAGAAGAATAAGTGCATGCATTGAAGAACATAAGAACTCAGTCAAAAAAGAGGAACCAACATATATATTCCAGATTTTCTGACAAAGAGTTAAAGAATTAAGTTGGGAGACTAATATGGCCATTTCGAGCTCATTTGCTCTCCTCAGTTAGCCATGCCCTTTGTGGGATTCGAACGTGGGCAGTTTACATACTAGGCAGTTGTTTAACCACCAAGCCACAGGCTCTCCTCCCCTCTTTGTCAGCCGAGTCAAGGGAATATATACAGAAAGTTTTTCAGACAGACCGGTCTGGTTGATTGCACCTTGGCATTTTGACTGCTATACTGCATTTCTACTTTTTACAATCACTTTTGCCTTGCAGCCCCCAACTAGGGGGCTTCACACAGTATGCCAGCAATTTGCCAGCTTTTTCACACAATTTCCCAATACTTTAACTTCATTTTCTTCAAAGAAAATTAAAACTGCTCAGCATAGAAATCAACTGACTTTACCTTATCTAACATAAATGTATTATTAGTTTATTCTATAGGACTTTTTTGCATAGACCAAAAAAAAAAAAAAACCTTTCGTTAGCCATAAAACTTGTCTGCTGATAACTCTTCAATGCCTTGGTAAGGCCACACTTGGAATACTGCATCCAGTTTTGGTCACCACGATGTAAAAAAGATGTTGAGAGTACAGAGAAGAGCAACAAAGATGATTAGGGAACTGGAGGCTAAAACATATAAGGAACGGTTGCTAGAATTGGGTATGTCTAGTTTAACGAAGAGAAGGACAAGGGGGGACATGATAGCAGTATTCCAATATCTCAGGGGCTGCCATAAAGAAGAGGGAATTAAGCTATTTTCCAAAGCACCTGAAGGCAGGACAAGAAGCAATGGGTGGAAACTAATCAAGGAGAGAAGCAACCTAGAACTAAGGAGAAACTTCCTGACAGTGAGAACAATTAATCAGTGGAACAACCTGCCTCCAGAAGCAGTAAATGCTCCAACACTGGAAGTTTTTAAGAAGAGACTGGACAGCCATTTGTCCGAAATGGTGTAGGGTTTCCTGCCTGAGCAGGGGGTTGGACTAGATGACCTCCAAGGTCCCTTCCAACTTTACTACTATTACTATTACTATTTTGCCTAGCTTCATCATAAACAATGATCCAGCTCCTTATTTTGACCTTGTTAAGCATCTAAACACGTAGCTTGATAAGAGAAGTAGATTGGCTCTGTCTTGTGCTTCCTGTGCAAAGTGCTTAGTAGATATAGTGTATCTACTTTGTATATACTGTAAGTAGTAGTTCAATTTTAATTCAATTTACTTTTTTTTTTTTTATAATAATAAAGTTTTTTTTTTATTATTGAAAGTTTTATAAATTTTACAAAAAAACAAAAACAATACAAAACAAAAGACAACATATACAAAAAAGAAACTAAACATTACATATATAAACCCCCCCCCATCCCCCACCCCGCACAAAAACCCTCCCTTCCCCCCCCTGAGCTTCCCAGAGCAGAATATAGGCTTAATTAAAAATTAAGAAATAAAAATAAAAAATTAAATTAAAAAATTTATATTTATATATATATATAAAAAATAAAATTATATATATATATATATATATATATATATATATATATATATATATATATATATATATATATATAAATAAAACTTATAAAAAAGCTATGTGATATTTTTAAATTTTAATTCAATTTACTTATGTGGGCAATCTGCAACTCAAAAGCTGCCTGGAGGCTTCAGACCCTATTTTATTAATGTAGCTGAAAAACAATAATATGTTACCCACTATTTTGGGGCAGGAACCAAGAGAACTGTGTATGTTTAAACAACAAAACTTCTGTTTCTAAATTCCCCACAATTTCCAAAGATCCCAGCGGTTCCCACATACATAATACAATAAGGCCCACAATCGGCCTTATTAGGACTTCCTGGGTCCTAATGTTGAACAGCCATTAGCCACCAAAAGTCTGTCTATCCTGACTAATGTGAGCTATTCAAGCTCAATATGCTTTTTTTGAATAGATACAGAAGTGCTGTTCAACTTACTTGAAATAGAAAGATGAAAGATATCTGGAAAGAAAAATGAAAGTTAAGTTGTTGTATCTCTGCAGAAAAATAGCTAACAAGGTATAGGAAAGATATCACAAGTCCAGTCAACAGCAAAATGAACATGCTTTGAAAATGATTTAGAAGTACTTTGGAATGTGTGGAATTGTATGTGTAGGATACATTTAAACAAGTTTCCACTTACTAAAGAAGCCATATTTTCAGTGCAATTTTTTAAAGCAAAAAATGTATGACATAGTGGATTCCCCTAGGCCTAGGGGAATCCAGATTTTCTTCCGCCTTCAATCTTGAAACTCATTGGGTGACTTGTAATCAGTTAGCCCAAGCTTTTCAAAGAGGGCTGTGTGGCAAAAAATATGGACCTTCTCCCTAAGGAAACAGGATGTAGATCTAACAAATAAATACAAACAGCAAAATATTCTCTCCCTCTGTCTCTCACCCTTCCTCTCTCTCCCAGCCTTCTTCTCTCTCCCACCCTTCCCCCCCGCTCTCTCTCTCTCTCTCTCTCTCTCTCTCTCTCTCTCTCTCTCTCTCTCTCACACACACACACACACACACACACACACAATTGTATAAAACTTGAAATGCTGCGGAGAAAGTAGAAAAGTCTTTCTAGTTTCACACTTAGGACCCAATGGAGTTGAATGATGGCAGAATGATGGTTAATAAAAGAAAGTATTTAGCTGAACAGTAGACTTCTCTCGAATAAAATTTTAATGATAGTCACAAATGCAACTGACATTAGAAGGAGCTTAAATAAAGTCTTAAATGAGAGCTGGCAATGGCCGTAGTTCATCTTCATCATCTGAGGGGGTATATCTTACAATACCAATCCCTGAGGAAGACGAACAGAAGAGTCCTTTTATGCACATGTGCTGCTTGTGAGCCTTCAATAGATATCTATGCTATAAGAATGCTGGACTAACGGGATAATATGCTATTATATCCGTAATCTGCAAAAATTTATCTCAGCTAGTCCACCCAAGAAAGCAGAACTCTTGTAACAGGCATTGCCTCAAAAGGAACTTTTGTTAAGGTCTTTCTCACTTTCAATTTCTTCTGGCTCCAAGCGCAAATGTCTCTCAGATAAGGGAGAGACATTCCATCCCCTGGGAGAAGGACATCATATCATACAGTACAAAGCAATCCCAAAGCTCCCCCCTCCCAACAGAATGGCAGGTCACAAAGAAAGGTACAGAAGTAGTAATTAGGCATAGGGTTAAAATACATTTTTGGGGGGACCTGATAGCAGGTGACATGATAGCAGTATTCCAATATCTCAGGGGCTGCCACAAAAAAGAGGGAGTCAAGCTATTTTCCAAGGCACCTGAAGGCAGAACAAGAAGCAATGGATGAAAACTAATCAAAGAGAGAAGCAACCTAGAACTAAGAAGAAATTTCCTGACAGAACAATTAATGAGTGGAACAACCTGCCTCTAGAAGTTGTGAATGCTCCAACACTGGAGCATTTAAGAAGAAACAGGACAAGCATTTTTCTGAAATGGTATAGGATTTCCTGCTTGAGCAGGAGGTTGAACTAGAAAACCTCCAAGATCCCTTCCAACTTTATGGATTGGCATATTCAGTCACTCCTAATGGTATACTTTAACCAGTGCTTTAAAAAAAAAAAAAAAAGGTGCCGGAACTCACACTCATCATACAACCCACCTTGCCTATCCTACAAGGTTCCATCCAAAAAAGGTGCCGGAACTCCGCTTTGGGCGTTCTATGACCAAAAAAAAAAAAAAAGCCTTGACTTTAACCTTCCTCCAAAGAAGGTTACCTGTTGCTTCTGGGAATGATCTGCTGCTCTCTAATTGGCTTTCTTCCATTTTAGCAATTGTGGCAACAAGTCAGCACATAAATGTACCAAATAGGCAGTGACCCTTGCTTTTATGCACTCTGATTATTTTGTTGTTGAAATGTGATCTCAGTTTTAGTTTAGAAGTGTGCCCCAAAAGCACAGGGAAAATAAAAGGTGGGTATATTGCTAGAACAAAAATTAACACTTCAGATCCACCTTAGGGGAAAATACTCCTTTTTCGGATTTGTTATTCTTCCCTCTCTTCCCCCCCCGCCCCTCCTAAATTTCTTGATGGTGCTTCCAAGCATATCCAATGAACTAGCTTTCTGCAATCTTCATTTGCTGCACCATAAACCTCCTTTGGCTGTACTAACCAAGGGCATATGAGTTACTGGAAAGAAAACTGTAGCAGTGGAATATTTGAAATTTATTGAGTCCATAATAGCTGGTGTTGCAATAATTCTATCCTGGATTCAGATGAAGTGTTACTGTTAAGCACTACCGACATCTGATCAATGTAATAGGAGGTAGCTTTTGCAGGCCAAAAGACTACATTCAGCTGGAATGAATTAAAGATAATGAAATAAATGTAACAGAAGAATCAGTTCCAATAACTGCTAAATGATTGCAGTAGGCACACTTCTGTACCAAATTAATATGCAGACTAATACATACTTTACCAAATTAGGGTTGGAATATTATTCAGTGCATAACTATGGAATGAAATGGAAAGGCATAGCTATAATGAGAAGGAAGTTAGTGGAGAAAGTTGGATCTTAGCTATACAGTAAATGCCAAATGTTTTAGTTTTAATTTCTAGTATTTCCATTTGAAAGAAGGAACTTATGACAGATGATGAAAAAAGAACTAACAGAGACTCAGAAAACTGCTGCAGTTCAAAACAGAAAATATGTGACCCGCCAAAACTGTTATTGCTGCAGTATAGAAATATGTTTATTTAATAAATAACATGAAGATGGACAAATAATCAGTACTTTCACATTCTATGAGAGACGTTAGTTTATTAGTAAACAAAAGATTGCCCAACATTCTGGTGCCATTAGAGGATCCAAATTGTGGCTTTTTCTAGCCTTGTAACTCCCAAAAAATAAAATGAATAACTGAATCTTACTTCCTTTTAATAATATCCTACAGTTGAAAGGGCTGGAAGCTAAGAATTTATATGGAAAATCTTACTGGATGGTAAGAATTGAAGGGGAGTTGAACATTCAGTTTTGTACTCAGCTGAATATGTTTCCAACTCTCATGATTTGTCAGGAGCCTCTTTCCCCCCATATTTTGCATATCTTCAGGATCAAAATACAAGACTCCAAGCTGGTTTATCTCTATAGGCTAGATCCAATTTTCAGCTGGGCAGACTGAATCAGAGAGCTTCTGTCAGTGACTGTGTCATCTGGCAGTTGCCTGCAAGAGACAGAGGGAGAGACAGCCCAATTGGCTTATCTCAGAGCCATTGGGTGCTTTCATCACAGAGATATCCCATCAGTGGTTGTTCTAGAACAGGGGTCTTCAAACTTGGCCCTTTTATGACTTTGGAGTTCAACTCCCAGAATTCCTCAACCAGGCAAGCTGGCTGAGGAATTCTGGAGTTGAAGTCCACAAGTCATAAAAGGGCCAAGTTTGAAGACCCCTGTTCTAGAAACTGATATGGAAAATATTGTCCTTTATTGTAATTCTCAAACAGTTTTTACTCCTTCTATTCTCACCCACATCCACCAAATCAGGGCAACTTTAGGCTAGAGAGGAGTAGGCACTGAACAAAGATTAGGGACACTGCTGCCATCCTTCCTTCCAAACAATCCTAAAAATGCAAATATGGTGCCATTCATCAATGTAGGGCTCCATAAACATGTGAGCTGGCAGTGGCCCCAACAGTCTTTTCTTATGCCTATTAAGATGACCATTGGTTATTCCAGCAGAGACCTCTTTTGATTTTTTTTGTACTATTAAATATTAAGCATTGTTGATGATGGAGAAAAGGCTAATTATCTTTAAAATGCATGCCAGTGGAGAACCATATTGAAATTCATAGTAGTGCACAAAGAAGACTGTCTATTTCTGCTTCATTTCTTCCAGCATGTCCTCCTCAATAAGCTTCTTTAGAATGATGCAGTAATGACTAATGCAAATCCATGTGAACTGAGACTGTTCCAGGATGCATCTTAATTTATATATTATTATATGTTCTAACGGGAAATATTTTAGAAAGTTCTGCTTTTCTCTCTATGACTCTCTCCTTAATTTCACTAAGGACAAATAGGGAAGCCCTGCTTCTTACCAGTTAACCAGTCTAGAGAGTGATGGTGAGAAATAGGGTCTTCTCAGTACTAACCCCTCAGTTATAGAGCACGGCTCTGGGGGAATTATGGTTTACAAGTAGGAGGTCTTATTTTCAATATCAGTTGAAGACATATTGATTTAATCAGGCCTGTTAAAAACTCCTTTAAGACCAGACTGTCTTTCAGAATGTCTTTTAAATGAACTATTTTAAATGTTATATTCCTATTGTTGTCATAGCAGATTGTAACATCTTGCTATTCTTGACTTGGTTGAAGAAGGCTAAGAGGGTCAAACATAGTTAATTCTTGTCCTTGGATGGGACCTCATTAGTCTGCAGATTAGATTGAGAATACAACTAATCCATGATGGCATAGTAGTTAGAATCAGTATTGCAGGCTGATTCTGCCCACAGCCATTTCGATCCAGACCTGCTCAAGGTTGACTCAGCCTTCCATCCTTCTGAGGTCAGTAAAATGAGGAGCCAGATTATTGGGGCAATATGCCAAATCTGTAAACTTCTTAGAAAGTGCTGTAAAGCGCTATGAAGTAGTATATAACTCTAAGTTAATGCTATTGCTATTGCTATTGCTATTGCTATTGCTAACCATCACTAACCTAAAGAAGGCAGCAGCAACCCCCTTCTGTACTGTTACTGAAAAAATGGCATGGAGATGGAGATGCAATGATCAGGAACTGTGCTTGAACTGAGGGAATCTTTATTCCTATTGTTATATGGTTTTATTTTATAAGCAGTTAAATTATTGCAGCTTTATCTATTTATTTTTATGGGGAAGTTTTTTTCTATTGCTTGTTGTATGCTACTCAGAGCTCTTCATGACAAAGAGCTCCACAGAAATCAATCAATACTCTAACCTTTTTACACTTGCATATTTAGGTG